TATAAGCATATCATTTCATTGATTTCAAATCTTACACGTTTTATGTATGTTTTAATTAAATTACACTCTTACATTCTTTACAATTTCTAATATCACTCATCGCTGTTCATTAATTTCTTTTATGTTTCTGGAAAGTAGATATCTTAAATTATTATTTAAAATTTTATATGTATATATTTATATATATATCTTATCACTTCACGGAACTACGATTTTGGACTAACTTAATTTGCCAGTTTGGCATCATCATTATTACTTGAGTAAAATACAAAACAACTTCTCATTTATTAATTATTGCTCGTTGAACGGGGCACACCAGCGGCCGAGCGGGAAAGTCGCTGAACACTGGTAGTTCCGTGCGAGGTTCGAATCCCGCGAACGGGCTGGCTGCATGGGTGTTTTTGTGGTTTTCCCCAAGTGTAACGTGTATACGAGCCAGTTTCTCTTAGAAAGTCCTCTTCGAAGGCATCCCTTCCCTTAGGCAGATAGCCCTAATTAGCGATAATTACTTGTTTTTTAGTTCCTTTTTCAAAGTTTGAAATTTTGTTATTCATGATTTAAATTCAAGTCCCCTTAAAGTTCTTTTTCATGATTTACATTCAAGTTCCTTTAAAACATAATTTTCGGCATTAAACTTCCTACATGTGGGTTCCCTCTTTTTGATACATTCGACTAGATTTATATTAGGAGATAATATGGTCAATATTTCTTTAGTAAATAAATTACATATATATATATAAAGTTTACATGTTTTTGTTGTGGATAAAATCGCACACTCAATATTTTATTTGGTAATAGCATGATTTCATATTTCAAAGTTGCATATAAAATCTCACCTCCAGATTCGTAATGTTAACCAATACTGATTGGTGGATTGAGCGAGCTACGCATGCTTAAATTGAGATACAGTTAGTCTTATAGTGTTGCTTTCACAAATTGTCTAGTTACTTGGCAGTTAAGTGAACTGCGTAATATGTTCAAATAAGCGTTGTTGTTGTTGCTTATCCTCGAAAGTTCTGGCATATGTCAGATCAGCTCCAGAAGGTTGTTGACCGCCAAAAAAATCAATAACAGTGAAGGAATCGAATGTTAAGTCCTCCTTAGAAAGTCTGGTGCAACCCAGTATGTGATACGGTGAAGCTGGATGGTCACATCAGTTTTTACAAGCGGGGTGGATTTTTCTGCCACTATCAAAGGAAAGACATTTAAGGTGGCCACTTGTTAGTCTAGCCAGCGCAGTCTGTGAGCCACGGTCACATTTAATTTTCAGTAGAGAGCTGTAACATAAGGAGGAGGAAGTGAGTAGCTTGTGTTGGTCAAAAAGACTGGAGCCCCCTAGGCGAAGTCCAAATCTTTGCTCCAGTCTATCTTTGCTCCACTGCCTGCAGGTCTTTGCTGAGCATAATGGAACGGCCTTCACGTCTTGGGTGACCATTCCAGGAGATTACTCTCCCGACGTACTTCACCCATTCCGACCAGGTACACCCCCTTGTCGACTAAGAGCACACTTCGAGGCGACCTGCAGAACTTGAGGGGGTTATAAGCGCAATAGTTATAATTACTGTCAACAATTTTATTATGAAAAACATTTTAGGTTGAGTTGTATCTTTTCCTATGATATCTAAATAAACTCTTATTTTCGGTCCAACAGAACCTCTAAAATTATTTATATCAAAACAGTTTTATAAACATTATATTTTAAGTGTTACATCTTTAATTATGGTTGGTGGTAGGTATTATAAACATAAAAATTAACGACCCAGTTGTTAGGCATTAACAACATTTTTTAAATATTGGTGAAAAGTAAAAAATTCATTTATTTTATTACAGCTGAAAAATAATTGTCGAAAATTTCAAATTATCTTCACAAACAATTCTGGACAGAAATAATATTTTCAATATGTCTTTAAATGGAAGTTACTTTTGAAAGGGATATAACAGGTTTATTCAGAAATAAACTGCGATTCGTTTCCAAATGCATTTTGGGGCTAGTTATAATCATACATTTGGCGGTAATTGTTGAATGATGATAATGAGATACTGATTGCGCGCTTCCTTTATCATTAATACCACTTATGTGAAAAAGCTCATTAAACGTCCAAGGGAGAGACAGCGTTATGACCTCTTTTAAGCTGAGACTGAAAAGAAGCGTGGATAAGCGAACTGCACTGCAACGAAATCAGAAAAGGTGGAAAATGGAAAGCGAATAGATGAAGAAGATAGATGAAGAAGCAGAAAAAGATGGAAGTAAAATACAAATGGTTCGTAGAAGCAGCTGTTGAAAGGCAGTTCTCATAGCAGTTTGTAAGAAAGAGATTTAAACGCTAAATTTCTTCACCGCAAGTGGAAATAAGATGCATTTTCTAATTTTTTTTTGGCATAAATAGTTTCCCTGCATTTGTCTTTCAGATAAATCTGCTGTCTTAGAAAAAAGCTTAAAATCTGAAATTCGATAGAAGAAATAATTCAGAATTACTTAAATTTCTGTTTGAATGTTGTTGTGATTGCCAAGATGACTAAGATATTACCTCCCACATAGATCTAATTTTCAAAATTTTTTGCTATCTATAAACGCTATTTTTATATATAGGAACATTTACACAAGTTAATAAACACAGTTAAAGGAAATAGCTGCAGGTTGAAGCATTTTTAACTCAGATGTTTTCAACACCATACAAAATTGTATCAGTCACATCGACTAAAAAAGAAAATTCAAACTCGGGTGCGAAGACCCTATCAAAGTTCTAGTAGACAACTTCTGTCTTCAACTGACTGTCTGTCCACCTTGCTGGCTCTTCTAGCTCCCTTGCTGGTTCTAAGAAATAGCAAAATCGGGAAAGTATTCAACTTTAGTACCCTTTTCTTTATAGTACAAGAATTGTCTATCTGAACGTATTTATATGTACGTATGTTTACCATCCAACGTTTGCTTATAGAAATCTATTCTTTTGTTATGTCTAAAGTAAAGACAAATTGCATGTTACACGTTCCTCACTTAACTCTGTGGTCTTCATGTGCGTATTCCATACCATTTAAGAAACAATTTAATTATAGGTAGCAATCATGTATTGTTTTTGCATATTCCCATTATGGAAATATGATAGCTATTAAATATTTTTAAAGTGTTCTGTATGGAGTCCAACATTGTATTTACCCGCAATGATTCCTAGAAGTTGTTAGTCGCTGAACATCGGTGAACATTGACCCGGATGCAAATCTCGGCAAATGCATGGGCATTTTTGTGGTTTTTTCATATGCAACTTGTAGGTGAGCCAATTTCCCTTAGAAAGTACTCCATAAATTAATCCCTCTCCTCAGGCAGATATCTTTTGCATGCTTTGCCATAACCAAGCAAACCAAACCAAAGTTTATATCTCTTTTGCGCATAGCGTGTATTCTTTGCTTCCCTAAATACGAAATTACAGCATGAATTGCTAGTTACTGTTATTCAGGAAACAATTAATGCACTGAAAGGACCAGAAAGAAATGAAAATTCAAGTAAATATTCCATACTGCAATACAGTTTAAACTGCAAGTCGACATGATTTAGTAATAGTTTTAGAAATATGTCTGAAAAGCATTCCAATTTGAGGATATTGAATTCGCCAGATTCGGATCAAGGCTGCCAGTGGGTTAAGAAAATAAGGTTTTATTTAAAGTGTTTGAATTTATAGGTTTTTTTAAAGTTATTTAGCCATTTAAAATATTTTCAGACTATAGGAATTAAAAAGTAATTTGTAGCTCATGTTATAGTTAATGGATTGATAATGATTTAGATCTCGTAATCTATTCATGAGAAATCCAGATACTCTATACTGAAATCAGTTTTAAATAAGCTTTTGAAACCAAGTTTTATGAACCAGAAAACTTTGTAATGATAATTTTTGATTCTACGTAATAATGAAAGCAGCGGTTTGGCTTTCGTGAAGAACTGCCAATGTGCTATTTCCAAACTTCCTAAACTTTTTTTTTAACATACAGCTATTTTTTCTTGATTTTCCCAAATGTTCATCTTAAAACATCTTCTATGAGTTTTAAAGACGTGTTTTCTATGCTTTTGATGCATAAGATAAAAGTTTTAGAAAAAAAATAAAAATTAAATATAATATCACTTTGTAATACCCTAGTATTTTAGTGTGTGTGTGTGTGTGATTATGGCAAAGCCTCGAGGGCTATCTGCCTAAGGGGGAGGGATGCCTTCGTGGAGGACTTTCTAAGGAAAACTGGCTCGTATACACGTTACACATGGGGAAAACCACGAAAACGCCCATGCAGCCAGCCCGTTCGCGGGATACGAACCTCGGACCGAACTACCAGTGTTCAGCGACGTTACCGCTCGGCCGCTGGTGGGCCCCTAGTATTTTAGAATTAATATTAAAATGATAAGTATAAATAAAAAACAAGCATGCGAAAATGTTTGAATAAAATTTAATCACAATGAGAAGCATCTGTAGAATTATCAATTTCTAACGTCTAGTTTAGAGCCTTCCGAAAAAATGTGTTTACTAACATCTAAATTTCTAATTCTTTAGTATCAGTAAAAACGGTTCCGTTTTCCAAGAATATGATTCACCAATCTCATATAAAATATTCCTCTCAAATGTCTGTTATAAATGGTCCAGAATTACGTAACTCGAGTAATGTAAATTCTTCTCTAATGCCCAAGACAAATTTTTTCGATATAAAAATGCTGTGTTTGAATCCATAATAAACGTGTTTACCGATGATAAATCAAATTGCACCTTAGAAAATGTATACCATGCTAAGTAGGTTCAGTTCTAAGAAAGCCACCGATAAATATACGACAGTTATACTTGGTTTCCTTAAAGTCAAACTGCATCTTTTTACATATGAAGGTAAATAATCGAAAGCAGATGAGAATTACTTTCGAACCTCGCCTTGGTATTTTGAGGATATATCATTCGACTTGACATCCGTACTGATTTCCCTTTAGGCTGGAATTTATCGGCCTAAAATTCTAATTAAAATATTTGTCTTACCTTGACTTTCTGCAGGAATAACGTCAGGACTTTCCATAGTTGAATCAATGGATTCTTCTTTGTAATTCTGCAATGGAATTTCACACCTGGAAATAAACACAACAGTTATTTTCTGAAAAATACACCGAACAAAGTTTGTAATGATTAATTTAGTAAAGTCACGTAATTAATAATGAGAAAATGTGGCAGTGTTGAACAAAGGGGTTATTTCTTGGAATAAATAATTCTTTCTTGTGTACGTGTATGGGGAGTTGTAAAGATAACATTTTCCCCTCCTTCTATGACTGGACATTAGCTGTGGGTATTTTACATAACATAATCGAGTAATTTTATCTATTATTCACAAGATGTGATCCAAAGTACTCCGCAGCAGTAGGCATACATTTAACTTGCTAAATGGTAAAAGGGGGACAAACACAGAAGCAAACACGGTAATCGAACGTATGCCCTAGGTTGTGGTCCTCGTGGCCGACATTCTAGATTTAGTTACATATTTGGAGGAGGTTACTATCACAGAAGATAAAATGCAAGCTTATATGGATGCAGACAATACTATTCCCATCAAAATCTCTCGATGACAACCGAATAATAGGATATGTAGTAGAAAAGCAAAAAAATGATGATGAGGAGGGAAAGAATGAAGATGACGATGATACGTAGACCAAGGATGTACAGCATACAACATAATAATAATAAAAATAACTGTACACAAATGATATCAAGATAACAATTAGACTAAGAATGTAAAAAAATGCTTTGAAAAATTTTTTAAAACTTATTTATATTTTATTATTATTGTTTTTAATTTTATAAATATAAACAAGTTTTTAGAACTAAAATCAGATTCTAACTGCACAGAAGTTCAATATGTTCGAGTTTAATATGGCTACGATTGATGTCTAGATGAATGCTTTTAATATTTGGTATAATATTGCTTAACTTAACTTTTAAATAACCTCATTCAAAAATATTCAATCAGTTTCTTGTTTTGGTTAATTACTAATTTGCTTAAAGGAGGATTCCATTAGATAAATTGAGAGAAACGTCAACAATGAAAATTCAGTAATAAACTTTTTCTTAAAATATTTCCCAAGGATGATTTTTAAATCCATAACTTACCGCATCCATGTTTTTGAATAAGACTTAGGCTTGAATATCCTCCTTCCATGCAATCAACTCTTCTTGCATCATAATATCAGGATCATATACGTAGTAGTGCGAAGATTCTATCAGACATTCTGTCATATTAAGACTATCAGTATTTTAAAAGTGAACACTGAAATTTTCTTTCAAATGTTGCAACTGGCTCGTATGTAATGATATATCTTCTGACGAATACAATTCTTTTCGATAATGGACAATCGCATTTCAATCATCAAAATAATGGAATACTTTTCGATTCAGTGTCGATGTGAACAACTCATTTTAGTACGAAAACCAAAGATAATCGCTCTATTATATATGAGATTAATGTGTTTTCTTTTGCGTGGCATTGAATGATTAATATATATTAGCTAAGTAGAATATATGTTTTCTACTGTTTCTGAATTTTATTAAAAGTGTCTCTACAGGTTGTCACCTTCAAAAAAATATTTGATCACAGTATTAAGAATATCTACAAAACGCCTCAAATATTTACCCTCGAAGAGCCAACATACAGTTTATAAAAACCAAATTGTGTTTTGACTTTTACCTTTATATATTGAACTTATTAAATCAAAATAAATACATTAAAATGATACTAATTTTTACAATATATGAACATAAAAACAAATATTTTTATTTTTGCTTTTTATATGTTATTTTTTTTTATTTAGTGAATGATATAGCTTAGATTTAGTAAAAAATTAATTATGTACTTTAATAATAAATTATCTTTTGTAAACAGTATGATCTTGGTTATGCAGATCCATTGCAGTTGCATATTCGGCTACCGATTCCCAATCGACATTCTTCGACCCCGTTGGGAACCCCTGTTAGAGAACGTCATAGTATACACATTGAAAGTTTGAAACTACGACGACAGTCTTGTCAGCAGAAAGAAATTTGAAGTTATATGCAATGACACTAAGAAATGCGTCGTTTCCATGTAATATAATATATGTGGTAATTTTAAAATGTTATTTTATTTTACTTTCCTAAAATATAAAATCCTGTATATGTTTTAATTCTAAATTATTTGCAAGATTTTCGATATGATTTATTTAATTATGATCAAGGCTCCAAAAATGCAACTACTGTATTCCACAGTTTCTTGAGATGGCATTTTGAGATATATTAATAACTAAAAACCTTCTTGAGATATATTAATACCTAAGTTTTAGAATTATGTATTTATTATCTAGAAAAATCTCTTATCTGGAATAGGCAAAGTCTCTCTGCTCCATCTAAAAGAGGTTCTACTGTATCTCATTTAATTACCTAATATGAAATAATAGTCGTTTAAAAGGTTTAGAAGCTCAAATGATCACCTGATAAAAATTTTCATATATTATCTTATCTTATCAAAATATAATCATTCATGGTAAATTCGTCGAACACGTTTGCAACAATTTGTTTTTGATATAAGTAATTATGGTAATTTTATTCCAGTTTCCATTGCTTTCGATATTTTTACCTATATTTAAATATTAACAGTTATTTGAATTTATCATTAAATATTTATTCCTTCACCTGTTTAAAATACTTTAACGTTGCCAAATTTTCTGAATAAACTTCGCACTTTTAGAAGCTTAGACATATTAATACTGTGCCTAAGTAGAATTTAAGGTATGCAAATACTAATTTAACGTAAAACTGCTTCATGCAGTTTTGAACAAAGAATTGATATGCGCATAAATAAATTAATAAAATTTTCCACGTATTTTTTTTACTGCAACATATGTTTGCTGCTCGTTTTTTGGGCGTTTTGAAAATTACAGCGCAGTTGGAAACTTTACATTAATATTTTGAAAATTATTTTGATTATAATAGTTTGGAAACTAGACAAACTAAAACACAGAAGCATCAATATAAGAAGAATTAAAAAAGAAAATTTTTTTCCAGAGCTAGTTTTAAGTTTGTGAATTATTATAATTAATCGCCAAAACTTAGCAATTTATCTTAAAAATTCTACATTAAAATATTTTTAGCTATATCCATCTGTACAAAAAGCAAAACAAAATTGGTTTGTTCATTAAACTGCAAAATTAATAACATAAAATAATTAAATTAAAAAACTAAATCAAATTCTGCAAAAAATCGCTTATAAGTATCAAACTCACGCACTCACAGATTCTTCATTTTATAACAGAGATTAAACACATTGTATTTTATAACAAACTCCTCTAGAAAGAGGATCGACTTCAAGTCAAAATTAAACCCATGATCTTAAAACTTTCAGGTGTATTCCTTAAAAGATTAAAGTTTTGGCAGTTGGTTTCTGTAAAACCATCCGTAATGTTCTAAGATGCAATAAATTTAAGTTTCATCGCATCATAACATGCCTGAATTCACTTGGTCAGATTACCGGTGCATAAAATCTTGTAAAGTGCAGAAAGGAAAACCCAGCAACCGTGAGCAAAATATTTCATCCAAAGCTATATGCAACAACCCAACTTTAAAATTCCAGATACTCGGAACTCTATTGCTAAAGAAACTGCGTGAACAAGCTTGTATTATAAAGGCAATTACCCATCAAACAATTTTTAGACTATTTCACATAATTTTAGAACATGCTTCAAAGAGTTCAGAACGATACTCCGTGGAGCTGCGGTTTCGATGAAGTACTTTTTAAGCATTCAGAAAATTCGGTTATTATTTTATAGACTTTAAATGTCTTTCAGTGGTTTTCTAAAGTGATCAGCTTTTGACTTTTAAAATGGAATGCGAGTATGTGGATCAGAACCGTATGATTTAAATAAATATATTTGAAAACTTAATGATAATTAATACTGGAAAATGTAATGAAAATTAATCAGCTGTTGGAAAGATAGGCCAACATACAACGATCTCATTGACCAGAGCTCAAATAGGAAAAAAAGGTATTTTCATGCATTGCGCCTTTTCTTCAGAACTCATTACTTAAAAAAAAAAAAAAAAAAAAAAAAAAAAAAAAAAAAAATCGGACAGCTTTCAGATTTTATATTACGCCCAAAGAAGCGTTTTTTAGCGTTCTGTGTGTTACCTTTATATTTAAATATCGTGTTCTTCGCACTTAAATCACATAGAATTCAATACAGCAGCAATATTATGAAATATTTAAAAACAGCATATCTTTAGAATTTCTGACAGACAGTCTCACGCGCTAGAGATAAAAATGTTTTTCCCGTAGAGTGATGCCATTGCTTGCTTTGAAATCCTTGAATTTATTAATCAAAAATTCCTCAAAGGTTTACAAAATGTGAAATAGTTAATAAAACAAATACAAAATTCGGGCGACCAGGTGCCCATGTTCAGGTTGAAGGCTACGTTTTTCACAACCTAGGTAATGACGTTTTTTCAGTGTGAAAAGCATATATACATTCATGCAGAATCTTCATTATTTAATTTCTTTAAATATAATACAGTGCGATAATGTTTGGCGAAAACAACTTAAAAAGTCTTTTCCCGTTTCTAGTGAAACGCTACAAAATGTCGTTTTGGAACTAATAGCCCGTCTGGGCGAATAATATTCATGTTGCTAGGAAGCATTGTGAAGTAATGCAACACATTGTGAAATATGACAAGTTGCTGTGTGGAATACATGTTCTAGAAGTAAACATGCTGTAAATTACGCAAAATATCTAAGCATACATATTTTCTGGAGATTAAGATCTTAACTGATGCCATAATTATTCTTAAATTTTATTATTCTAATCTAGTATTTGATTTCAACACTTCACGGCAGTCTTCCAACTAGGTTTCGTGTTGTGATAATGGGAATGGGTTTGTACTACATCAGGCATGTCAAACTCGAAGCTGATGAATCGCATACGATACACACATTGTAATAAGTCTAAAATCTGTAAAAAATTTTCTGTAAAATTCTTCTAAAAATTGTCAGCATGAACAATATGTTTTCAGGCCTTGGAAAGCTGACTATAGGAAAAAGATGTCAGGTATCTGGAAGAAAACGATAAATATATGTGCTTATATTCACTAACTCACGATCTTCAGATATATGTGCATATACTATCCGGACATTTTTATGTTTCTTGTTTTAGCATCAGAGGTGATATTAGTCTCAAATTTCACAGTTTTGTGCGTATCACTTCTGTGACCGTCTCATTTTCAAATGTTGCCACAAAATCTCATCAGCAAATATTACTTTTAAAGAAATAAAATAGCGAATATAAAAAAAGTTTGGCAACACAAATAAAAGGATATCGCTACCAAATTTTATCGTCATGCTATTATTTAAAAAATTACAACGAATATACATATAAAAATGTGTGGTAACATTTAGCATTTTATCGGAAAATCTAAAGATATCTCATATAAAATATTTTTAACTTCCAAGCGACCGTTTTCTGCCATTTAGGAGCATAATATTTATATTTTTTTAAATTTAATCTCCCTGTTATTGAATAACAAATTAAGTTTCTTAATAGCAATAAATGCAGTTCTTTATCTTTTTTATTAACTACCAGCTAAACTCGTAAAATTATACTAGCTGGATTCATTAAAATTATGGCATATTTTTACCCTTTTTGTATAGTAATTTCAGGTGGTATCCCGCGCCAGCTTCTAATTATTTGAAAAGTGGAATAGAGAACAAACATAAGATTCGAGAATAATAGCCCTTTTAGACTAAAAAGTGCTTGACAACACCTAACATTGCATGTATGCACTGATCACTGTGTTTATACACTGTGTAAATGAATAAAACGCAAGAACTGCATGTCCAAATCTGTCGAATGTTGAATATTGAAAGCATATTTACAAATTATGCTTCCGCTGTCAATAAATGTCAGTATTTATGTAATAGTGTTATCATATGGTAACCGTTGTGGGTAAATAATATGAATTAAGTGTTCGTATTAATATAATCGCACTGTAACTTTTGAACGTATATCATGCATATGTGAACAAATTGTATTATGTGTTATCTCTGTATTCTGTGTTTAGAATCGTAAAATATCCAATGATCTGTACTCAAGTTGTAGATAACATACGTTCATTCTGTTCAAATTTGCTATTTAATTCTGCTCAAATATGGTACATTCTAAATCATGCATTGGCCATTGAATGCAAATGATGTACCATAAATATTTCACCAATACCATAAGTCCAAACATAAAACGAGGCAACTGATGACCCCCCCCTCCCTATCGGTGGCAGAGCTTGCAATGCGGATTGCACCAGACAACAGTAACACATCGGCAGCAGAATGGCTTCGTGGGCCTCAGGAAGACGTTCTTAATCTGGACATCTTGTGTAACAGAGTTTTACCTACTTAAGGTAAATAACAGGTGTCTTCGGCGCTTGTACCACTGCGTCGTGAATTTTAAAGACATGCTATTCTTAAAATTTTTTCATTTTACTATTTAACTTTATGCGGCGTTAGTGAGATCAAAGTGATAATAAAGTTGAAAATTTTAATAATAGAGTTAAAATGGCAAAACGATTGTGCCCGCATAAGGGAGTCCAAAAGCTGGTAGAAAAACTGAAAATTCAACGAGAGCATAAAAAAATTCTGGTGCAACATTACAATCTGAATCCATTCAGATTTTCGTTTTCTTCTCTCATTCCTTTATTTTTCATTTTTTAAGAACTGCAGGGACAAGTAGAACTGGACAGGACTCCAGAATTACACCAGTAGTATAAACAGATATAGTCCCCCCCCCCTCCGCACTAACTGCAGTTCCACAACAACTGTGAGGTAAAATATCTTAAAATAAATTTATCTTAAATATCTTAAAATAGATTTTATATGCAGTAACAAAGTTTTCAGCATTTGTAATTCTAGTGAAAATATTTCAGCATATTTATATAGTTTAACATTTTGAGTCGAATTTCTCCGACTCACGATTTGCATTTTAACGGATGGGTTTAGATTATTTTGTTTTACTCTAAATACGAGTAATGAATATGTGCATATATGGAATTAATTCTAGCATATCTTTAGCAATTGATATGCATTTTGTTACATTTTCATTCAAAACAGAAACAGAAGAATCTAGTTTAAAATAACGAATCTACAAAAATCATCATTCCTATGGAAATACCATGAAAATTTTGGTTTAACGTTATACCATTTCCTTCTTAGTGTTTCGAATAACATTTCGGAAATATAATGGTTGTCTGAAAAAATAAATTACATTGTATACGTATCGCTTGTTTATATATTATAGATATAAGAAGATAAGCAAACAGAAAATCAAAGCATACATCAAGGAAGGTCCCTTTTTATATGATTCATCAAGTTATATGGACATCAAGGAAGGTGTTTAGCTGTTTTCCCGCCTTTATGTCTCGAGGATACGATATTTTTAAGCATTATAATGGACATGCATAGATTTTCTGCATTAAATAGTACGGTTTTAAAAAAGGATAGTTTGGCATCGAAATTTGTTTTTCAATGGTTGGCAACAAACCAGTTTTATGTTTTCTCGTATACCTGGCAGTCCAGCGAAATTTAATTTTCAAAGCTTTAGATTAGAGTTTGTTAGATTAATTTTGCAAAGCATATTTGCTGAATTTCTAGAAAGATAACTTGCCAATTCTAAATAAAAATTAAAAAATAAAAGGGCAAAATTCAAAATTGGTGAACATACTAGATATTGACTAAAAAATCTCAGACGATTCTCTAAAATTCGCGAAAAAATTCGCTGGAATTTGAGCCCCTATTACGTTACTGACCTAACTATAAGCATTCTATCTGCTAAAATCGTTTTCGTGTTCAAATTCCTAGGAACATTCAATGTTCTCTTACAACTTTCTAGAATTCAGTTCCTAGCAAAGCGAACAAGCTGTATCGAGTTTTTCTCGTTTAGAACGCAAATGTGGGTTAAGATAAGTTATGTTCATTCCACGAAATCTTTACTCAAAGTAAATAACCCTCGCGTGCTTCCCGGTAATTAACTAACACTAATCCTTCATGGAGTTGTACCATTTGCATTCTTATTCTTTGAAATACAATACAGTGGTATCGTATGTAAAAAGATTTGTTTTCACTGAAGCAAGCAATCATGAATATGTAAACAAGTAAAGTAATTAGCAAACGTACGTGAAAAGTTAATAAAGAATGATACTCTAATTATTTGCTTTTTATATTCCTTGCAAATATACATTTTTAATGCTCTTTCTCAAGATAGCGTAAAATATTTAAGAATTACGAAATATTTGAACGATGAAAGAAATGTTTTATGTAAATCAGAAAGTAAAGAAAATAATGCTTGAATATAATGAAATGTTAAACAAAAACTTACTTCACATCTTTCAGCTCTTCAGATTCTGGAAAAAAAGAGAAGTACACATATTAATATTTTTCCGTATGCAACTAAAAATCGTAAAATTTCATTACATTTTTATAATAGTATTTAAAGCTTGTTCACTTTGCATGCAATTCTGTAACACTTCGGAGTGTTTTGAAAATATTCTAAGTAGCTCTTGAACAGCTGATTGTAAACCATCGTTCTTATTTAAGAAATAAATCACGTAAAATTCGCATTTAGTAAATGATAATTTTACCTGTGCAATGCCATAGAATAAAAATACATGAAATATAAATTTTTATATATAGCTCTCCCCCGTAAAAAGGTTTCAGTACAAAAAATCGGTTTCATTCAAGAATTAATCAGATAAATCAAAAAACAAAATACCACTCATATATAATCAAAATTACCTAATATTCATTAAAATCTTTTTCATTTAAATTTTACAGAATACTATACTTGTACAGCTTAAAAATTGCATAGCTTATTGTATACTAGATAAATGTACACTTCTGTACTAGATACTTGTACAGATAGCATTTATTATTATATATATACCAGAAATGTAAGTTTTTGCATACGAATTTCCAAAAAATAACTAAGCGTATTAATAATGAAATAAGGTATTTGTTAAGGGAACCCAAAAAACTTTAGAATATGATGATTTCGAATTTTTGCATTTTCAAATTCTCTACACTTTTATCTTTCTAAAAATACCATTCTTTAATCTCTTTGAAGATCAGAACTGTAAAAAAATCTAGTTTTAATTTGTCATCGAATGCTTCGGTAAATGAGGATTTTTATATAAAAACGCGTTTTCCCTCCAAACGTGATTTTTTTTATACTCGATGTACCTTTTCTCAGGAACTACTACTGCTCACAGGTATCTAAAATTTTTGTGGCTTATATTAGGTTTCCTAATATTTACTGAAATGAGCTTTTTGTGATAAACTAAGAAAAAAGAATTTAAAAAGTTTTTTTCTGTGTGAGAAAAGTGCTAAATTTTACTATGCCTAACAAAATATTCTGTAAATTACTCTAAAATTCAAAATGTTTCAAAATCTCATTTCAGTATAATTACACATAGGCATACTTTAATTACACAAAAAATTTTTAAGCGTGTATCTACAGCAGATTTTGAGAAAAAGTGCATCGAAAATGGCCAATTTAACATTGTCGGTAAAGGGGTTTCTGACATCCCTTAAAAATCTCTTATTTTACTTTTAGTTGATATTTAAATCTAAAAATCTTTACTTAATTTATAAATTTCTTTCTAAGTTTTAACTTTTGAATTCTGAAATCTCTTATATTTTGTTTAATTATATTTAGCTAACATCTAAATCTAGATATAGTTAATCTGGAGATCTACTATTTTATTTCTAGCTGAGCTTCATTAATAAGGTATTATATCATTACTTCCAAGTTAAATTCACCAATGTGCGAAATTAGTGAACACATTTAAACGTTTTGTACACATTTTCTTCAGCTACATTTGTGTTATTAGGTTTATGTTCTCATATAAGCTTTCATAAATCTATATTTTCTTTTCGCTTTAGTAGAGCGTAAAATGTTAAAAAAATATTTCAGAATTTATATTTCTCATTTCTTTTCATTTGGTAAAATTGGTTTAAATTTCGCAATGTTTCTCATCAAAATTTTAAAAGTAAAATCTTTTTTTTTCATCATTATCTTTTCTTTTTTATTTTTTTTCCTAAAAATACCGTTTAATACAATAAGTTGTAATTTAATAAGAAAGATTTTAATTGACATATATGGCTTCCCCGAAAATATTTTGTCTAGAAGGTTCATGTAAAAATCAAATTTTACGTATTTTCCTAAAAGATTTCAATTGACTCCAAGCTATAACTAGCTGTCAAAAATCCTATATTATTTTGCCTACCAGCGGCCGAGCGGTAAAGTCACTGAACACTGGTAGTTCGGTCCGAGGTTCGAATCCATCGAACGGGCTAGCTGCATGGGTGTTTTCGTGGTTTTCCCCAAGTGTAACGTGTATACGAGCCATTTCCCTTAGTAAGTCCTCCACGAAGGCATCCCCCCCTTAGGCAGATAGCCCTAGTGTGCTTTGCCATAATTAAATACACCACTACACCTATATTATTTTATTCGTTTCTTTAACTGAATCTGCAATAACTTGCTCTAGAGACAACAGTGCGATACTTTTGTGCATATTACATCTTTAGTTTATGTAGTAATAAAAGTAATGGATGCATATTTTTTGAAATAATTAGCTTTTCTAAATTCTGTGAAACCTTATATTGTCTCAGTCTGTGCGCCATTAACATAATGACATTAGAAAGAATAATCAAATGTTGAGATATTTGTGAGCAATAAGGTGTAAGAATGACGTTTGCTATTGTTTTCATGATTTATTTTCATAATGTACCCTGAACTGCACTTACATAGTATATATTTATATCTTTGTTTTGGTTTCCAATTTGATAGAAAATGGTTCTAATAGATAAAAATAATATAACCCAGCTTACCTACTTTATTTTCGCAGCCCTATCATTTTTTTATATCCAATGGTGGGCACTTTGCCTATTCAACAGGTTACAGCCGAAAACATCGCGGACGGAAACGTCGCGGAGAAAACAACGCAAGGCGAAAATGTCGTGCTACAAAACATCGTGGGAGAAAACATCGCAAAGAGAAAACATCGCAGTCCTAAAATATCGTGTTACAAAAATCGTCGTCGAAAAAAAGCGGTTCAAAACCTTCGCAATTTAAAGACATCGCAGTCGTCAAAATATCGTGGTAAAAAGTAAAGTATCCTGACAAATCATCGCATGGCGATAACATCGCAGACATGCTTTTTTCATACATGCTTTTCGCAAACATGCTTTAATAACTGTAAATGGATATTCCCATAATGATTTGTGAGCGCAAAATGGAAAGAAGTATAATTTTTCTTTCACATTTTTTTTATTAACTAATAAATTTTTTTCTCTGAAAAAGTAAGAAGGAAACTTAAGCATAGCAAATTAATGCAACTTATAGCAATTAATAGAATTTTAAAACCGACATAGTTAACTAACAAAGGCCATTAATAAATCATTTTTATAAGTTTTTTACTGGTAATTTTTCATGAAAAGTATAATCTATAAGTTGCATTTAATTTTCTATGCTTAAGTTTCCTTCTTACGTTTTCAGAACAAATTTATTAGTTAATAAAAATGTGTGAAAGTAAAAATTATCCTTCTTTGCGCTCACAAATCTTTATGGAATATTCATTACAGTTATTAAAGCATGTATGGAAAAAGCATGTCTGCGATGTTATCGTCATGCGATGATTTGTAGATACTTTATTTTTTACCACGATATTTTTGACGACGATGTTTTTAAACTGCGAAGTTTTTGAACCGCTTTATTTTCAACGACGATGTTTTGTACCACGATGTTTTAGGACTGCTATGTTTCCTCTTTGCGATGTTTTCTCCCACGATGTTTTGTAGCACGATGTTTTCGCCTTGCGTTGTTTTCTCCGCGACATTTTCGTCCGCGATGTTATCGGCGGACACCATTCAACATTGGCCACTCCTAAGGCCGGAAGTGGCGGCCATTTTATTGTGTAGGCTCCTAATAAGTGGCTTACGTTGCCTCTTATGAAAGAACGTACAGTTACACCCATGCCTTCTCAAGGATTCGATCCCGGGCCCTTCGGTACTGCAGTAGGCTACACTAATCTCTATACCGTTGGACTGCTTATCCCTACAATAGCCTTGCGCTATCAAAGAGCGCTTCACAAAGGTGTCCTCACATAAAGGTTCCAAACTCTTGTGCAAGTTGACCGCTGTTCGAAAAGACAGAAATCTTCATAACGGTGCCGCTTCATAAAGAAACGTATACTGTTACGAAATGTACAGGCGCCGTGAGATAGCTTCTCCGCAAAGCAGTTTTAGGGTTGCCATAAAACGGAAAGGTAAGGCAGGGTTACCACATTCGGCAACAATTTTTTTCCTGAAACAGATGGCCCGCATATTTATCATCTAGTGCTTTTCCTAAAAGTCCATATCTGTGATCATCCCTTTTAGAAATAGTTGGTCCTGCTTTCTGGAAACGCAAATTTCAAATACTAAATGAACTAGAACAGGGGTTCCTAAAAACTGGTTCCACAGGCTGCATCATGAAAATATTTTCTTTGAAGAACTAAAATATATTTAAACTTTTTGTGTTTTATTTTTACAGTTATGTACATATACTTAAATTATGAATTAATTTATAATTATTAATTTATTGTTGATAATTATTTTAATTATTTATTTTTAATTCATTAAAATATTATTTCGATCAGATTCCTTCTTTCTCTTTTATAAAGAGCAACCTTTAATAGAGAATTTCTAGAAATCAACTTTCCTTTTTCTAAAGTTTTTACAGGTCTCAATGCAAAAAAAATTAGGAAACACTAGAAAAAAGAAAATATTAAATGGGAGGGGAGATTCGAAACATTTCATTACTAACGGTAAAAATGATATTTTATGCTTGAAATCGACATGTACATTGATAGCCGAAAGAAAATCAGATAGGATATTTAAACTGATAGGTAGAATGTATAAAAATGAATGTTTGATATAACATTAAAGAATTAGACATTTGTATTAAATTTACTGTCTGTATTCCTTCTGGATTCAAAAGAAGAAGGATTTGGTTTAAAAAAATTACGCACACATCCTTTTGGTCGTTATATATATAGACATTAGTTTATCACTTCAGTGCAAATAACTTTCAATTGATTACAGTACCCAAGTTCTTCTACTAGAAGCTTAAGCTGAAAAATTCTTCGGACTGATGAAAACTTTAGGACTCATGCCAATGTGAGTTTTTTTCATAAAAGAACGGAAAACTCTATAATAATTCAGCATTTCACGTAAGGGTGATGGCTTGTCATTTTGAATAAAACATCCTCCCTTTTCTAAAGTCTGAATTGCGAAGTCCTCGTTTTGAGTAAAGGTTCCGAATATTTATTTCATACTCTTTTAATTAATTAATCAGTAACTGAAA